ACGTGTGTGGTTCTGCGGGCCTGCAGCTGGATATTATTGGCGTGTTCAGCGCAAATGTCCGCTAATAGTCAAATCTAATGCTGTATCATCGCCAAAGAAGCTCGCCAAGTTTACACTGAAACTTCGTCTCATTACACACAGCGGTATTGCGCCGGTGGTCAACCTGCTCATAAATGGGGTCGGCTGACTCGCCTGCTTTTCCACAAACACAGAAAAATTAAAATCCGCTCAGACTGAACATTTAAATTGACACAAACTGAAACCAAAACTTTTAAAGAGTGATAGAAGTGAGACTTTACTTACTTTCTTTTGCCTATTCTTTCTTGAGGTGTATATTATTATTTTTATTTAGTTACTGATGACTGTTTTGCAGCTTTCAGCCTTGAATTGAATTCAATTCAATTCAATTCAGCTTTATTTGTATAATGCTTTTACAATGTAGATTGTGTCAAAGCAGCTTCACATAAATGGTCATAGTAACTGGAACAGTGTGGTTCAGGTTTTAGTGTTTAAGTTCAGTTCAGTTCAGTTTAGCTCAGTTCAGTGTGATTTAATCATTACTGAGAGCTCAAACACTGAAGAGCCAATTCATCAATGCGCAGCTCTACCAATCCTGAACCATGCGAGGCAGTGGCGACAGCGGAGAGGGAAAAAAAACTTCACCTGATGGGAGTGAAGAAAAAAAAAAACCTTGAGAGAACCAGACTCAGTTGGGCACGACCATTTTAATTTCTCCGCTAGCCAAAAGTCTTTTTGCTGGCCAAAAAAATTTAATATTTTATTATAATCTTTTGTTGGTTTTGGAGCAGAAATATTATTTATAAATAAAAATAAAATAAAATAAAATAAATATTTCTTACTGCAATGCTTCATTTTTGTTTGATGCAAACTATACATTTATTTTTCATAAAGTAACAGACTTTTTATAGCAGATAACTTACATTCAAGCACATTCAAGGCAGCATGATGATGAGAAATGGAAATCATTGTTACTATTATTGTCATTTTCATCATCATTAATATTCTAGAATTTTAACACATACACATTTTGGAATTATTGCACACAAATATCAATGTCATCTCAGCATTAGTTACAGTTGTTTCTGGTTTTTGTTAGTCCTAATTGATGTTGTTTTAAAATACAATAAGTCCCTTAAAATACAATTTGCAGCGGTGCTCAATCTTTTTTGGTGGGTGCTCCTAAATTTTTTCTGGTGCTCCTAAATTTTTGAAGTTGGGAGCACCGGTGCTACCAAGTAAAAAAGTTAATTTCGAGCCCTGTGTCATATCCCCAGTGTGTAACAAAAATTGTTTATTCGTGTTGTCATATACATTTATTCTAAATACACATGAATCTCTGAAAGTTGTTTTGTGGTCTCTCAATGTCTTTAATGTAGCTTTAAAAAAAAAAAGTAGTTGTTAAAAGGTTTACGCTTACAAAATTTACACTTGTGTATAAAATATTTGGGCATAAATATAATAAGATGAAATAAATAAGAAGGGTATTCTGATGGTTATATCCTAAAATAACATTTTCATATTTTAACATAACATCAGGAATTATACCATAATTATTAATAATTATATCCTAAATATACCTAATACATTTCTCCAAAAACTTTTGGTATGTCAGGGTTTAAACGCTTAGGATTTTTTCTACTGGTCTGATCGGGCCAGTGGTTTAGATTTTTACTTGCCCTGCCAAAATTTTCACAGGCCCCACCAAAAAAAAGGGAAGTTAATAGCTATTTTTAGCCACATATTTTAAATAAAGAGTCAAAAATAAAGTCTGTAAATCTAGAATTTCAATACTTAAAAAAAAAATGTAAATAAAAGTGTTATGCAAGCAAAAAGAGCAGTATGGAAAATGTGCAGGTATTTTATTGCGGTTTGAAATTATTTAACAAAAGGTGGCTGACTTGTCAAACTGACGGAAAACTGTGCAAAACATCACTTCATTTTTATTTTGTCGTGTTGTTCCCACGTAAATGTCTACTTCCAAGATGTTAGAAACAGACGTTTTCTTTTAGCCTTATAATTTGATGTTGCCGCCATGTTGCCGTTTCTTTGCTGTCAGATAAGAGGAACCGGAAACTTTTCTACATCACAGAAAAGGTAGTGTTTAAAGACTTAAAAGCACAAACTTAAAATGCACGCAATTGACAAATAGTCAGACAAATTAAATGTAAGTGACAAGGCAGCACTGTCCTAATCGGGCCAGTAATGATCCGGTCTAATGTCCCAAGTGTCTCTCACGCTGGCCCTGGGCCACCGGGCAGTCCTTATTGTTGAGCCCTGTATGTTCACAATTGAGACAGATTAGGATTAGGAGTGAGACAGATCTTCAGTTTGGTGAACACAGAAGGAGCAATTTACATCAAAATCTTCAGAAATAAACCTTTGAAAAAAGATATATATACCTTTGTAGGGTAGCACCTATGTATTATTTTATAAAACACTTCACAGATTTTATTGTACATTAGGAATTTCTGAGGTAAAGTCCATACTCTTTTTCCCAGTTACTGTTACCTATCTGTTCCAATAATAAACAGCATCAGGACAAGAGATTATCCCACGCTGAAATAGAGAGCGGATATTTTTGTTATTTGGCTTTGTGGTAAATAGTAATTTATGAAGAGCTGTTTTTAGCACATTTAGATGTGGCACAACCTGGGGAGACTGGATCGTCCCATCCCTTCATAAGCATAATAATCCCACAAGGGATTGCTCCAAATACAATAGCAAATTCTTTAGCTGTAATCTAGATGTAATATTTAGAATGGAACAAAAATTCCTTATATTTAAAAGGCCCTCCTCTGGTATTAAATAATTGTCCAACATAAATTATATATATATATATATATATATATATATATATATATATATATATATATATATATATATATATAGAGAGAGAGAGAGAGTGTGTGTGTGTGTGTGTGTGATAGATATATATATATATATATATATATATATCTATATATATATATATATATATATATATATATATATATATAAATATATATATATATATATATATATATATATATATATATATATATATATATATATATATATATATATATATATATATATATATATATATATATATATATATATATATATATATATATATATATATATATGTTGTTTAAATGGTTATAGTAG